TGATTTTGGGATATTAAAGACTGTAGCAGCGCGTCGCGTACTCTGAATTTGGGCAGAATCTATAGATAAGAGAGCAAGCTGAATATCTGCTTCATTTAACTGCATAAGCAGAGCGCGGCGTGGAGGCATTGTGTGTTAAGATAGAGTAGGTGATCAAAGTTGGTGGGGTGACCGACTCGCTTGTCTGACCGACTCGCTTGCCAACCATGTTAGCTCTATTAGATATTTAAGTCCTAGACAATAGACAAGCTTACTTCTATAGGAGAATATTAATTAATCCTAGGCATAACGTAGTTCACAAGCGAGCGGTCCAACCCAAGCGAGTGGTCCACCTAACAGAGTTAAGATGATTGCAATGCATATGCTGCAACACCACCACCACTTACTGCAATTTGCAGGTCACAGAGATACTATTTAGACTTGTTGCTATTAGATGCATCTACAATTTCAACTGCACAGGTGCAAGTGTTATGGCTAGTCTCTCTACAACGTCTGCAACGCCTCTGTGTGCGCACCTTCTTTGCAGGCTCTCTGCCCCCCTGCTGCCTACTACCCTCCCTTTCAGCTATTAAATTAGCTACCTCACCTACCATAAGACTCTCTACTGCCTGAATATACTTCCTCTTTCACCCTCTAACCTCTGCTACTATCTCTACTGCCTTGCAAAGCCCTGCTATTTCCTGTCGCATTAACACGCTATTATGCCCTATTTGTGCAATGCCCTTGTTCAGCTACTTAACTGCTTTAAGCAGAGGAGAAACTAGGGAATCTCTGTGCAGTTGTACACGCTCACAAACTAGCGTTAACTAAGCCTCTATCTTACAGAGGTTGCTTAGAGTTTTTAATTCCTATAGGGTGTCCTCTAGCTTTAGTGGAGTTAGCGTACAAAGGACTATATTAAGCTTTAATATTACTGCCTCTAGGTTGTGTAGAACTAGTCTAGCGCCCCTAAAGCCTGCATAGATGTTCTCCTTTGTGATTAACCTCTTAAAAGCTGCTTTAAAGGCTGGTAGGAAAGCCTCCTTCTTAATCTGCTTAGAGCTGTACTGTGCCAAGCTACTAATCTTATCACTATATACCCACTTTAAAGGCAAAAAGCAACCTACATTAAGTGGCTGCAGCAGGTGTGACAAGTGAGTAGGCATACAGAGAATAATAATCTTCTCTTCCTTACAGCGTTTGTAGAACTCATGTGAGCTGTAGCTTTTATAGCCGTCTACAATTAGCAGCCTGTGTGTACCTACCTTCTAGTCTTTTGTATAGGTGTTAAAGTGCTTTTGCTAGGCAATACTAAGCTTATTTAACGTCTAGCTATTAGGACTAACCTTAATTACCTAATCCTAAGGTAGATTGTGAAACTATAACATAATAAGGACCTTGCTAGGGAATATAAGGAAGGGTAGGATAGCCTATCCTTTAGCGTTAACTCCTTATATATTAGTAACCTAACCACAGTTCCCTAGCTATAGGCTCTTTGTGCTACGCTTCTTAGAGCCTGTAAAGACTATCTAGCTATAGATAACCCCTATTATAAAGCCTGTCTTGTTAAAGTTGTACATGTCTTTGTCTGTGATGCTGTACTTAGCCTTTGTGTTAGCAACTAGCTCAAACTAGGGCGTTATAACGCGTGCATCTTCGTTAAGGGCTCGCTGCCGATCATATGGGCGGCTCCTTCGAAGCTTGATCTCAGGCGTACGCGTCTTGAAGTTGTCTACCCAGTGCTTGCCAACAGGCTCTCCACCGCGCTCAGCAAGCAGATTATTAGCCATATCTCGCACTATAGCCTTTGTAGCAGGTATTCATCTTGTATCAAGCTTAAGTATACATTGTACAAGGGCCTCCTCTTCTAGTTTGCTTAGCTTCTTTAAATTAGGCTTGCAATTGCGTTAAGAGAGGGCTCCTTAGCGTTATTAGCAGACAGTAGTTTAAGGTACGCTAAAGGCTGTAATAGTGTGTCTTTTACTCTTATTATAATCTTTAATTATAGCTTAGATAGTAAGCTATAAGGTCCCTTTAGTATAGGTTAATTACATGTTGTGTTAGGATAGCATTATAATGCAAAGTAGTTATTAGGCTACCATGGTTGGGATAGACTGCTCGCTTGGGTTGGACCGCTCGCTTGTGAACTACGTTAGCGTACATGTTTAACCAACTAGAAGGGCAAGCTGCCTAGGTTAGTCTATCCTAGAAATCCTGCGACCTATTAGGATTAACTATAGAATTCTAGAGCTTCCTTAAAAAATAATAATAAGATACCTAGTTTAAAGAAAGATCTTGTTAGAAGCTATAGATAATTATAATAAAGAAAATTAGATAACGTGGTTTATCACCAAGCCGCCAGGTATCACCAAACCACCACCCCTCACCAACTTTTTTAGAGTCACTAACTATTACACAACTATTACGCTTAACCACAACACTACACTAATACTTACAATTGCTACAATTACTCTTTAGAAGTAGCACTATTATCTACATCTAATATTTCTGCAGTGCAGGTGCGCAAATTGTAGCTAGTCTTGCTGCAACGTCCGCAGTGCCTCTCTTTACGCACCTTCTTCCTAGACTGTTCAGATGCCTTACTACTACCACCATCCTTCTTAGCTATTATATCCTGTACCTCACCAACTGTGAGAGCCTCCTCTGTCTAGATATACTTTCTTTTGCAACTACGCTGCGCTGTTAGAGCCTTAATAGCCTTCTTTATACTATCTATTTCCCTTCTCTGCAACACGTTGGCATGGTCTATCCACGCAACCCCTCTAGCAAGCAAGTCAAGTGATTTTATAATAGGAGACAGGGGCGAATCTCTGTGCAATTGCATGCGCTCACAGATATACAACGTTTGTGACTTAACCTCCTTTGCGCTAGTTAGTGTTTTGGATTCCTATAGGGTAGTCTCTAGTGGTGGTGGTGTTGGCGTGCGAAGGACCACATCAAGCTTTAATAGCACTCGCTCTGGGTCAAAAGGAACTAGTCCTGCGCCTCTAAAGCCTCTATAGATATTGTCTTTTGTAATAGCCTTGTAATAGGCTGTCTAGAAGCTAGTAAGGAAGAACTCTTTCTTAATTTATGTCTTTAAGTATTGTGACTAGGCATTAACCTTAATTAAGTACGCCCTCTTTAAGGGGCTAAAACAGGCCACATTAAGCGGCTACAACAGGTGCGACAAGTGTAGGGGCATACATAAGGTAATAATCTTATGTTCTGCGCAGTATTCCTTAAACTCTGCAGAGTTATAGCTCTTATAGCTATTAATAATAAGCAGACAGTAGGCACCAATAGTACGCTCTTTTGTAGACGCGTTAAAGTGCTTTAACTACTCTAGACTAAGCTTGTTTATTGTCTAGCTATTCTTGCTAGTTATAATTACCTAATTATGAGGCAGATTAGGGTACTAGGTTGTAATTAGGACCTTGCCTTAGAAGATAATGAAGGGTAGGATAGCCTAGCCAGCAGCGTAGACACTGATAATGATTGTGACCCACTCCTAATTGCTAGGCTAGATATTCTTAGGGTCAGATTACTTCTCTAAGCCTGTAAACACTATCTTAGACCTAATTATGCCTATCATGAACCTAGTCTTATTAAAGTTGTAGGTATCTCTATCTAGGATTCTGTACTTCTCCTTTGTATTCCTAACTAGCTCAAACTAGGGCGTTATAACGCGTGTATCTTTATTTAGGGCTTGTTAACAATTGTATAGTTAGCTATGTTAAAGCTTAATTTGTTAGGTACGTGTGTTAAACCTGTTTACCTAGAGCTTGCTAACAGGTCCTTCACCACGTGCAGCAAGCAGATTATTAGCTATATCTTGCACTATAGTCTTTGTTGCGCCTATTCCTTGCCTGTCTAGCTTAAGTATATAGTTAACTATTGCCTCCTCTTCTACCTTTGTTAGCTTCTTTAAATTAGCCTCGCAATCACGTTGTGCAAGCCCTCCTGCGCGTTAGTCTCTTAACGTTAATTAGGGAACACTAAAGGCCTTAGACGCGTAATTTATACTATCAGGCATAGTAGCTTTTGTAGCTTGGATAGCAAGGTATAGTGTACCTTTATTATAGGGTGATTGCGCGTTGCGTTGTGATGGCATTGTAATAATTATTGTAACAGTCGCAAAATTGGCAAGGGGTGGCGGTTCAGTGATACCTGGTGGCTCGGTGATAAACCACGTTAAAGCCTTAAAGCCTTTAACGTAGAGTTTTCCTAGCTAGCCTTTAATACTAGAGAAGAAGAAAATAAACAGAACCTTAAGACAAGGTTTATGTCTGCTATGTGTAAAGTTATAAGACTTTGTTCTTATAATCTTTCTCTAGCATATTTCCTTCTTAGGTATAGTGCTATGCGTACCTAAGAAGGAAATATAATCTCCTAAAAGAGAGGTTTAGAATGGTGTGCTTAAGAAGCCTGTATCTCCTCTTGTTCTTAAGATATGCT